AAAAAAGAGAAGATTATATTGAGTGACTAATGTCTTTTGATACCGCTCCCGAAATTTCCAGACAGCAGCAGCTGCTTTTGTGTTTACTAATTTTCATTGATACTCTTATTAAAAGTTGCTAATTATTTGTTTTAATCGTAAGAAGTTTTAAAATACGAATATATGTTAAATTTTAATTATTTAAGTTGTAAATACTGTAATTCTTGCAAAGAACCGATCAGGTGGGTCCATATGACGTCACGACAATAATGGCGTGCATATGTAGGTTAAAGACGCTGTGACTCAGCGGTGTAGTAAATTCCATACATAAACACTATTAATAAATTATATAGTTTTTTAACATTATTTTGATGATTTCACTTTCTCTCGATAATTATAACATTTTGCTTTACAGAGTCACATTTTGGCCGCACGCCAAATCGCTGGTACGTAAAAACGTCACTGGGTCCAAAGGGTTTGGATAAAATTATGGTTAGCTCTGATGGCGATGTGACCGTCACCAATGATGGTGCCAATAATGCAATTGATGGAAGTTGATCACGAGATTGGCAAGCTCATGGTACAATTGTCACAATCACAAGATGATGAAATTGGTGACGGCACCACTGGTGTTGTTGTTTTAGCTGGTGCTTTGCTCGAGCAAGCTGAAAGCCTTATTGATCGTGGCATTCATCCAATTGTATTGCTGATGGTTTCGAATTGGCGGCTCAATGCGCTGTTAAAAAAATTGGAATCTATTGCCGAACCATTCCCAATCGATCCCAAAAATAAGGAACCACTCGTACAGATTGCTATGACAACATTGGGCAGTAAAATTGTGAATAAGTGCCATTTGCAAATGGCTACAATGGCCGTGGATGCTGTGTTGAACGTGGCTGATATTGAGAAGCGTGATGTGAATTTCGAATTGATCAAAATTGAGACCAAAGTAGGTGGTCGCATGGAGGATTCTATGCTAGTGAAAGGTGTTGTGATCGACAAAACCATGAGCCATGCACAAATGCCGAAAGTGTTGAAAGATGTAAAGCTTGCTATACTCACCTGCCCATTTGAACCACCAAAGCCCAAGACCAAGCATAAGTTGGATGTCACTTCGGCCGAAGACTATCGTGCGCTGCGTGAATACGAACAGGAGAAATTCGTCAGATGGTTAAACAAACTAAGGACGCTGGTGCTACTTTGGCCATCTGCCAATGGGGTTTCGATGATGAAGCCAACCATTTATTGTTGCAACACGAATTGCCTGCGGTTCGTTGGGTCGGTGGGCTGAGATCGAATTGATTGCTATTGCCACCGGTGGCAGAATTGTACCACGTTTTGAAGAATTAACACCCGAAAAGTTGGGTACTGCTGGTTTAGTGCGTGAATTATGTGAGTAAAGTTTGTTTGCTTTGTTGTTTGTGAAACTTGCTAATAAATGTTTTCTTTGCAGCTTTCGGAACATCCAAGGACAAAATGTTAGTTATTGAGGAATGCAAGAACTCAAGGCTGTAACTATTTTCCTGCGTGGTGGCAATGCCATGATCATTGCCGAGGCCAAACGTTCTATACACGATGCAATTTGTGTTGTGCGCTCGTTGATTAAGGTAACAACGCTACAAGCTTTCGCAAATTATATGTTCTAAATTATAATTTTCTTTCTAGGACAATCGCATTGTCTACGGTGGTGGTGCAGCTGAAATTAGTTGCTCTCTGGCCGTTGCCAAAGAGGCCGATCAGTTGTCCACTCTCGAGCAGTATGCCTTCCGTGCATTCTCCGTGGCCCTCGAGAACATACCGCTGGCTTTAGCCGAGAATAGCGGTTTGCATCCCATCGAAACATTGTCTGAGTTAAAGGCACGTCAAGTTTCAGAGAAATGCCCAGCTTGGGTGTGGATTGCATGCTGTCCGGTGATTCTGATATGAAAATCATAATGTAGTCGAATCGCTGAATTCCAAGAAACAACAGATCCTCCTGGCAACACAGTTGGTGAAGATGATACTTAAGATTGATGATGTACGCTCCAAGGATGGGCAATAAATGTGCGAAAACCGAACAGCATTAATACCATAAACACACTGAACTCATCTCATCATCTACTTAAAACACATTTGTCACCGCCTGTACGTCTGCTTCACTTTTATAAAAATTTAGTAACCCACTATGATTCTATGTTTTAAAAGTACGCGTGCGCATTTACCGGAATACTGCTCATTTGCGCCGTTGAACAATTGTAATTTGTTTGCTTAATTAATAAAGTACTTAAATTTTTATAAAAGTGAAGCAGACGTACAGGCGGTGACAAATGTGTTTTAAGTAGATGATGAGATGAGTTCAGTGTGTTTATGTATGTTTAATGCTGTTCGGTTTTCGCACATTTATTGCCCATCCTTGGAGCGTACATCATCAATCTTAAGTATCATCTTCACCAACTGTGTTGCCAGGAGGATCTGTTGTTTCTTGGAATTCAGCGATTCGACTACATTATGATTTTTCATATCAGAATCACCGGACAGCATGCAATCCACACCCAAGCTGGGGCATTTCTCTGAAACTTGACGTGCCTTTAACTCAGACAATGTTTCGATGGGATGCAAACCGCTATTCTCGGCTAAAGCCAGCGGTATGTTCTCGAGGGCCACGGAGAATGCACGGAAGGCATACTGCTCGAGAGTGGACAACTGATCGGCCTCTTTGGCAACGGCCAGAGAGCAACTAATTTCAGCTGCACCACCACCGTAGACAATGCGATTGTCCTAGAAAGAAAATTATAATTTAGAACATATAATTTGCGAAAGCTTGTAGCGTTGTTACCTTAATCAACGAGCGCACAACACAAATTGCATCGTGTATAGAACGTTTGGCCTCGGCAATGATCATGGCATTGCCACCACGCAGGAAAATAGTTACAGCCTTTGAGTTCTTGCATTCCTCAATAACTAACATTTTGTCCTTGGATGTTCCGAAAGCTGCAAAGAAAACATTTATTAGCAAAGTTTCACAAAACAACAAAGCAAACAAACTTTACTCACATAATTCACGCACTAAACCAGCAGTACCCAACTTTTCGGGTGTTAATTCTTCAAAACGTGGTACAATTCTGCCACCGGTGGCAATAGCAATCAATTCGATCTCAGGCCCACCGACCCAACGAACCGCAGGCAATTCGTGTTGCAACAATAAATGGTTGGCTTCATCATCGAAGCCCCATTGGCAGATGGCCAAAGTAGCACCAGCGTCCTTAGTTTGTTTAACCATCTGCACGAATTTCTCCTGTTCGTATTCACGCAGCGCACGATAGTCTTCGGCCGAAGTGACATCCAACTTATGCTTGGTCTTGGGCTTTGGTGGTTCAAATGGGCAGGTGAGTATAGCAAGCTTTACATCTTTCAACACTTTCGGCATTTGTGCATGGCTCATGGTTTTGTCGATCACAACACCTTTCACTAGCATAGAATCCTCCATGCGACCACCTACTTTGGTCTCAATTTTGATCAATTCGAAATTCACATCACGCTTCTCAATATCAGCCACGTTCAACACAGCATCCACGGCCATTGTAGCCATTTGCAAATGGCACTTATTCACAATTTTACTGCCCAATGTTGTCATAGCAATCTGTACGAGTGGTTCCTTATTTTTGGGATCGATTGGGAATGGTTCGGCAATAGATTCCAATTTTCTAACAGCGCATTGAGCCGCCAATTCGAAACCATCAGCAATACGAATTGGATGAATGCCACGATCAATAAGGCTTTCAGCTTGCTCGAGCAAAGCACCAGCTAAAACAACAACACCAGTGGTGCCGTCACCAATTTCATCATCTTGTGATTGTGACAATTGTACCATGAGCTTGCCAATCTCGTGATCAACTTCCATCAATTGCATTATTGTGGCACCATCATTGGTGACGGTCACATCGCCATCAGAGCTAACCATAATTTTATCCAAACCCTTTGGACCCAGTGATGTTTTTAGCGTACCAGCGATTTGGCGTGCGGCCAAAATGTGACTCTGTAAAGCAAAATGTTATAATTATCGAGAGGAAGAGTGAAATCATCAAAAATAATGTTAAAAACAAACTATATAATTTATTAATAGTGTTTATGTATGGAATTTACTACACCGCTGAGTCACAGCGTCTTTAACCTCACATATGCACGCCATTATTGTCGTGACGTCATATGGACCCACCTGATCGGTTCTTTGCAAGAATTACAGTATTTACAACTTAAATAATTAAAATTTAACATATATTCGGTATTTTAAAAACTTCTTTACGATTAAAACAAATAATTAGCAACTTTTAATAAGAGTATCAATGAAAAATTAGTAAACACAAAAGCAGCTGCTGCTGTCTGGAAATTTCGGGAGCGGTATCAAAAGACATTAGTCACTCAAATATTATTATTATCAGTTTTACTAGGAATTTACACAAAATCCTCCTTCATTCAACAAATATATTATTTATATATAAAATTCTTTTTTGTATTTGAAAAGCTATTGCTCCAACCTTGATGGCATCGGTTCCAGTGATGCGTTTTTCGCGTTCTTGTTCACGTAAAATTATAAAAGGACGACCGTATTCGTCGAAGGCGATGCTACCCGGGAAGGCGGACATTTCGAGTTAATTTCACAGGCTTGGATTCGCTGGATTCACACAGATAAATTTTCGCACTTTTCGGACGCTGCGGAACAAAAATCAAGAAATTTGAAAGGTGAAAAAATTCTCACAAGACTACACAAATTGAACCGGCTGAACAAACGTCAGATTTTNACCGTTTGTGTATACTTCCGCTAATGTGAAACTCTCACGAAAAGACCCAACTAAGTGGCAACACATCGAAATGAAAACACATGTGAAACAATAACAAAAACCAGCAAAACAAAAAACAACGAGAACAAGAAACACGAAACACGAAAGCAGAAACGAAAACAAAGAGGAAAAGGAAATCGTGAAAAATTTCGGGAAAAATTCCATTCTCCTCGTATTCGCCGTTTTCCTCGTCATTTCACTTTGTTTTTGTTTATTTTCCTGACGACACGCTTTTCAAATCGACCCGACTCAATGATGGCGGAGTTCCATCGACTGGCTGACCAAAAATACACCGAGTCTGAATATCTCTTCCAGGTATGTGCCACAGCTCCATTAAGACTGGAGATACCAAAAATTTAACCATTTCTAAGTGCATTTCAACTTATTACTTGTGTATCTACATATTTTTCAACCATCTTCTTTTCACGCCCTTACCGATTATGCCGGAATTGATGTTTTTGTATTTATGTGCTGCTTCTGTTATGGATGTGGTGGGTAACGCAATCAGCAGACAATCGAAATGGCCAAATCGGATGAGGAGTATGATGTGGAATTATGTTCTACGCCACCGCCGCAAACAGGTGAGATGTATGACCTGGAGGTGGTGCCGCAAGAGCCCAGTATTTTCTCGTGGAAGGTTGTGAAGCGTCGACAGCGGCCGCATCGCCGTTATACGGTGTCGCATGGCGCACCACCTGCGCCGCCTTCCACGCCTACATCACTGACGGCCAATAATACGCCTGCGCCCTCACCCACCGCCTCCAGCAATCTGAACGTCAATGGTAGTAGTGCTGACGATGAGCCGCTAAACAGCCTCCTCTACATTCTCGATTATGCACCCAAGTACAAAAAGAAACTCAAGGAGCAACAACGCACCGATGCAGAATTAGCAGAACTCTTCAATGTTATTAAGATAACTAGTAGTGGTGTGGGCACAAGTGGGGCCGGTGGTATGAGCGGGAATACGAGTAATCGTGGTGGTACGCTATCCGAGGAAAATTCAGCTAAGCTACCACCAGAACGTGGCATTAGCGCTAATTCCCGTGTGATACGAAAGCATGACGCCAATGCGAAAATCTTCAAAATCCATCGGAATCCCAAAGAGTTCTTTCGGGACCCGGTGTCAGTGGGTGGTGGCGGTGAAGAAGAAGACTCAGTGTCCGCGCCCGAGTACGATGATGCCGAGTACGAAGCTGCTACAATACGCCGTCGATTACGGATGTCCAAGCGGAAAAGACGTTTTGCACGCTTTGAGCATCAAGAGCGCATGGACGCTATGATGGATAATTTCGATGCCGCCATGACAATGAATGATGCCTAGTAAGTTAGACACGCTAACGTGTCTAGCCACTGCCAACTTGATTCAAGTTGGCTTGCAACAGTAAAATTGAAGGCAACACAACTGAGTTAAGGAACATAAATGACTAAAATTAGTAATATGGACGAGTACGATGATGACGAGTGCAGACGTCTACCTTCCAAATGTGGTCTCAATGTGATCAATATGAATTTCTTCTGCTAAATTATTAATTAATGTACTGCAAAAATAATTTGTTCACTAAACTTTTTGCGTAAATTTAATTTTAAACGTAACGATAGATATTCTTTCTCTCCTTTTTATATTTTGTTTGAACAAAAGAGAAAAAAAGAAAACACTAAAGAAAGAAACAAAACTTAAACATTAAATTGTAAAAAAAAAAATGAAATATAATTGTATTGTAAACTATTATAGAAGAGGCGGCCCAGTGCTTCTGTGTATGCCCCGTTGCCAGCTGACCTCCAAACGCAGGATTTCATGCCGTGACGCGCGGACGCACTGACGAATTGGGCATATAATAAGTGGCTAAATGTGCCGCATTACTCTGTGTGTGAATTGTTTGTTTACATCTCTCTGATTATTTTGCGTTGTAAATGTGTGAGTAGCGAACACAAGGAATGCTGTGTGTTCAGCAAAACAAATAAATAAATACTAAAAGAAAAACAAAAAAAAATAAATAAAACATAAAATAACATTGGATTTTAATACAATAAATTGATAGCAACAACAAGTCCGTTTAGCGAAAATCCCTGAAAAAAGTAAAACAAAGTGAAAGTATATCATAAATTACAATTTTTAATTATACCCTGAATAGGGTATACTAATTTGTCTATAACATCCAGAAGAAAACCTCGGAGACGCTATAAAATATATATGTATACAAAAGATCAGCATGACAAGCTCAGTCGATTTAGCCATGTCTGCCCATTTATCTGGCCTCTTTTTATTTGACAAGTTATCTTCACGAAATTTGGTACGAATTATTATCCAAAGCAAAAGTACAATCTTCGCAATGATGAAAAAATTGTTCAGATCGGCCCAGTATAGCATATAGCTGCCATATAAATTGATCAATCAAAATCAACTTCTTGTATGGAAACTTTTGTATTTTATCGTTTAAAAATAAAAACATAATAATTGTGTCCTGATTTTATTTATTTTGCTGTTTAAAAATAATTGCAAACTACATAATAACATTCTGCTGACAATTTAATTATTAAACAACACAAATCACTGTTAAAATTACAAACACTTATCGCCAAGCATTTATAATTCAATTGATTTAATAAACATATATGAGTATGTACTATTTAAAATAAGTAAGTAACACTATTAATAACTAAACTGAACGTAAATTTGAAAGAACCAAACACTTAAATATTTAACAGAATATAGCTAGTGCCTTGCGCTAGTCATTTCATTTTTCAAACGTCCGCACTCTAATAAGTTTTTATCACTACTGCTTTTGTTACTAAACGCTAAGTATAACAACTATTTGGGTTAATATTATAAAGAGGAAATCGTTTAAAATTCAACGCGTCTTCACTCGGCCTGCTTAAAGAATCTTTCTTTCAGATTTTGCTCGAGTTGTTCGGGATCAGTAACTGGCATACGACAAACACGCTCATGACAGATATAAACCGTTGTTTTACCATTGACCATTTTAAATTTCTCCTGTACACGTTGATTGTAAGTCTCATCAGGATACTGTGGATCGACGTGTAATATTATCATGCCGGGTATATAGAATTTTCTTAATATTTCTACGAAACGATGTGTGGTATTCGAGTCCGGACCAACTACAGCCACTAAATCTAAACCATTTTCATGCATTAACAACGCAGACATCATTGCTGGTAGTGTATAACCGAATGGATTGATGTCAGCGAAGAACTCCAGTAATTTAATTGCGCGCTTCTTGTAAGTATCTTCGTCGAAATAGTGAGCGAGTAGGAGGAGGTTGCGTGCAGCAATGCTATTACCACATGGCTCGGCGCCATCATGATCTGTGGGAGACAAAAACATAATTTTATTTTAATTAAATTGTGTTGTTTGGCTGCCTACCTTCTTTTAGCCGCACAATCACATTCGGCGAGTTGGCCTCCGAGTAGAAATATGCGCCATGCGTATCGTCCCAGAAGCGTGTATCCTGTATCTCTTGCAATTCTCTAGCCAATTTCAGCACGCTGCCGTCCAACGATGCCTTATAGTAGTCCAATAGACCCCTGATGAGAAAGGCGTAATCGTCTAGAAAGCCATCGATGCACTGGGCGCTGAAATAAATAAATATTTGTAACACACAGACGGACATGTGGCTTCAACACTAACTTTGTGGCAAACTTTAAAACATTAAAAATACACTAAACTTACGGCACACTCTCTAAAGTAGAATCATCGGTACCAAGGCCGTAGCAAGAACGCAGCAACACCTTCCTCTCCTCATCATACAAATGTTTGTGCATAAATTTGTACAGTTCCTCTGCAGCTTTGACGTATTCAGCACGTTTTGCTGAACAACAATTGGCCAATTTCGATAAACCAGAGAGCACTAAACCATTCCAGGCGCAAATAATTTTCGTATCCAAATGTGGCCGCGGACGCTGATCGCGTATTTTGTGCAGCACTTCGTTAGTGATGTCTAAAATGCGTTGCAGCTGTGCCTCAGCGATATCAAAGTTAGCGCAGGTTTCAGCTTTTGAACCACGCACAATATGTATATTTTTGGCCGTGAGATGACCATGCGGATCACTGTTGGGTTCAACATTACCCGTTTGACGCAAATCATAGTGATGTGCGTAGATTTCAAATATGCGTTCCAGCTCCAATTTCAAGTCAGCATAAAGCGTTGCATTTTCATGCACTGCTTGCTTCACTTCCGACCAAGTCCAAGCGTAAAATGCACCCTCCACTTTGACGCCAGCATCAGCTGTCGGCAAGGAGTCAGCATCTTCGCCGGCGAAGAAACCGCCATCTGGATGTCTTAGATCCTTCATCAGGTAACGAAAGATGCCATCAGCGTATTGCAAGTAAGCCTCGTCATTTGTTAATTTGTAAGCAATTGCGTAGGCCGTCAATAGCTGGCCTTGATCGTAGAGCATTTTCTCAAAGTGTGGCACATGCCAAACGCGATCCACAGAGTAGCGCGCAAAACCACCGAAAACGTGATCGTGTATGCCGCCGTGACCGATGTGCTGCAGCGTTTGCAGCGCCATGTCGAGCACATCTGCATCCTTGGTGATAATATAGGCGTGGAAGAGAAAATTTATACGCGCTACTTCGGGGAATTTCGGTTGCATGCCAAAGCCACCGTACTCCTGATCATAGCGACGCTTGAAGATATTCACGGCTTCATGCAATTTGGCTTCAGCGCTACCTGGTTCAAAGGTAGCTGTCGTCGATTTTTCACTTAATGACTTTTGTATTGCGCTAATAACATGTTTGCCCGTTTGTTTCAACTCTTCTTGATTCGATTGCCATTTGGTGGCAATCGTTTTTAGCACTGTCGTGAAAGCGGGCATGCCCCAACTGCAAATATGAATAATTTTAACACTCCATAGTGGAAATCCATACTTCTACATGTTTTGTGTACTCACCGATCATTTGGTGGAAAGTAGGTGCCTGCGGTGATTGGCGCCAAATCTGGTGTTAGCCACACCGACATGGGCCAACCGCCACTGCCGTTTAACATTAGCACAAATTGCATATATATTTTATCGATATCTGGACGCTCTTCGCGATCAACTTTTATATTAATAAAATTCTTATTCATTATTTTAGCGACATTCTCATTTTCAAATGATTCGTGCTCCATCACATGACACCAGTGACATGTTGAATAACCGACCGAGAGAAATATTAACTTGTTCTCCTTGCGTGCACGTTCGATTGCCTCATCGCACCACGGATACCAATCGACGGGATTATGCGCATGTTGCAACAAATATGGCGACTTTTCATTTATCAAGCGATTCGTGTGCTTAGCTGCGTTCCCGGCTGCAGCAGCGACACTGCTCTTCGCCGTTTCTGTGTGGGTGGCGCCTTTGTCGGACATTTTTCGTGTTTGAGCACGTTGTCTGCTATAATCTAAGCTGTTGTATCTGGAAATGTTGGCATATTTTTTAATATTTTGAGCAATTGAAAATAGTGACAATTAGCAGAAGTGAAAGTGCCATAAGCTGCTACTTACTTTTCACAACCGCTTTTGAATATATTTTTTTTTACTGAAACTACACAACTGGTTCGCCTTGATACTCCAGCTGCTGTGGTAGTTATAAATTGTTTGTTTGTTGTTGCTGCAGGCAATCGTGTTACCGTTTTGGCTATGACCTTACGTATCCAGCTAAGATGTAGAATATTATTCAACATAGCAACTAAAGATGTACAACACAAAGTTGTAGCAATTAGTCCTCAACTCCTCTTTGCAATTAGCAAACACAAGCTCAAATGTTTAATATTGAAATTGCGTTATTTTCACGTTTGCTCGATTTGTAGATTAAAGATTATGTGCTGCTACTGCAGCATTGACAGCTAGTCTAATAAGTAAGAAGATAACGCAGCGAGTCGCAAATGAATTGTTCGTGGGCAAGTGACAATTAACAGGTTTAGCATTTTGTTGTTGCCATTCTTGCCGTCTGTGTTGTTGTTCACACGTTTATTTTGCATTTTGTTGACATATGCCATTTCGGAGAACAATATTTGTTGTGATTTTTATTTTCACATTTTTTATAATTAAATTGACATTTATGGACAATTATAATTGTGAAAAAGCACAATAATTTTTTAAACATTAAAAGTAAAATATTTTCTCCTTTAACTGCACAAAATATAATAAACGCAAATAAATATTTCGTTAATTTGTTTACGAAGAAAACGTTGACCAGAGAACAGAGAATATCAAGACACAGGGTTGCAGTGGATTTATTTATTGACAGTTGGTTGATATAGTGGCTTTCAAACTGTCCAATATAGCGGTATTTTGTCAGTGTGTTATATCCGGCGCGCTTCGTTATACGTTTTCAATAGGCTTCCTGCAAATTTGTTAAATTTATGTTTTATAGTATATTTTTTAAGTATTTTTTGGTAAAATTGTGTTGAAATAAATGATATTGTTATGTTGCAGTATTTATTAAATGAAATGCATAGCTTTAAAGTGCTTTTGCACAAAGTGCTTTCGAGCCGGTTGCGTCTTTTGTTTTGCGGTGTCTTTCTTCCATACAAAATGCATGATTTCCTCCTGGCTTATGACTATATCCGTTATCTCTATATGCAATCGGGAAAATATGTAAAATATGTATGTGTAAATTGGTGTATTTTATTTAATCTGAATATTAAATTCCTAATTTTTTGTAAAAGAGGTTTCTGTGGCCCATTTATTTTGTAAGTGTCGCAAATTATTGTTAAATCAAAGAAAACTGCTGCTGTCAAGTGCGTTATTGTGTTTGCGAGTGTCAAATGTGGTAACGCTACCACAAATGTAGCAAAAGTCTACCGTAGAGCAATGTCAAAAGCGTGTGTGTGTTCATTTTTACAGTGTACAGTGTTTTATAAGCGAAACGTGTGTGTTAAAAAATAAAATAAAATAAAATAAAATCAAACTAAATTAAATAAATTAAATTATATTACATTGAATGGGGTTAAATTAAATTTAAATGAAATTAAATTAAACTAAACCAAATAAAATAAAATAAAATAAACTAATAAAATATATGCATACAAAATTAAATAAATAAAATTATACAAAATAGAATAAATATCTCCTACTACTAAGGTAAGTTTCAAATAAATAAATTATATAAAAGACTTGCTTTGAAATTATAAATATTTTCTTATTGGGTTTGGGGTTATATTGTACAATATTTAAAATGTGGGGCAATAGTTTAGTATTTTTTGGGTATTCCGGTAGGAGTTGATACTTTTTTATACCCTTAATAGTTAATAATAACTTTGCCATCATGTTTATAACACCCAGAAGGTGGTTATCCTGCTGAAATATAAACGGAGCGATCAAAAGCAAGTTTTTATATGGAAAACTTTTTTATTTGACTGGAGACCACACCAATTTAGGTGAATGTAATGGTTGTTCATGAATAATTTGTGGATTTTCTTTGCACCAGAATTGGTTTATTTACCGCACCACTCAGGTGTGCTTCATCGGAGAAGATGATTTTCTTAAAAAAATCGTTAACGTTTTCAAGTTGTTCCAACGCAAAATCAGTAAATTCACGACTTTTACGGTGCTCCAATGGTTTCAGTTCTTGAGCGAGAACAATTTTATACGGATGCAAACCCAGCAATATTTTCATTACTTCGAGTGTTTTGTTTTTTTATTGGCACTTGAATATTATGTAAAGTACGCTCGAAATTTTCAACAATTCGACGAACAACGAGTACAGGTGGACGATTATTACGACCATAAAATGGCAAAAGCGCACGAAAAGTTGCAATTGGAGAACGATCATTTTAATAATAAAATTGAATAATTTGTAAACGTTGTTCTTTTGTATATATTTCCATGATGAAATTGTAAATATTACGAAATGGCCGAAGCGACACTTAGACGTCAATAACTGAACTATAGGAATCTGAATTTGGTCTTTTGATTGCACGATTACATAAATAATAGACTAGTACAGAAGCTTTTGAGCCCTATAGAAAAAAGTTAAATGACAATGTTTTTGGTAATGAAAAGATCTACCACTTTTGTATTAACACCTTTGTTACATAACCTCAAAATTTATGTGAAAAATTCAAATAACGAAATTTATCTATCTATCTAATTTTATCTTGTACAAAAAAATGTTTTTCTTTCATGAAATTTGGTGTAAGCTTACATTCTTATGTCCCAAACCTACTTTATTATTTTTTAAATTTAATATGTAATACAAGTACAGTGTGTTTGGGACATAAGAAGACAAGTTCACAGCAAATTTAGTGAAATAAAAAAATTGTGTACAAGTTAAAAAATAAACCCAAAAACTGGGTTATTTGAACTTTTCACATAAATTTTTAGGTTATGTGAAAAAATTGTGTATACAAAAGTTATAGATCCTTTCATTACCTACAACATTGGCCTGTAACCGTTTTCTATAGGACTCGTAGTTTTGCCGGAGATTGAGATAAACCGTTTTTAACTTTTAAAAATTCAACCACGAAAAGGAAGGGAAGGGGCTTCCTTTTCGCGACCTCAGATCGCCCTTAAATTATTTTTCTTTTAATGTTTTTTATTTTATCTTACGTTTTCGATAGGTTTCAACCTACTATCATTATTTTTTTGTTTTCAAAAATTATCTACCCTAGTCTATAAGTTTTCACCTCTAATACTCATACATACTCACCATCATCATCACATTTACACAAAATAATTTACAAAAAAGTTAATTTTTGAAGTATTTCTTTATTTATAATTCTTATTATAAGCATACATAAAATTAAAGTGGCTCAATTTGCAAAAAATACTTCACAAACCCGTTAAAATTGCAGCGACATAAGTACATAAATCATTACATGCACATACCTACTGTAATTTGCGAAATATACATATGGGAAATAGAAATTTTTAATGCAAATTTCATTTAAGTTGTTTTTTATTCTTTTTTTTGTTTCTTTCCTCCATATCATAGTTCTTTAATAACATTTACATTTCTTATATATATTATATAGTATGTTATATTGTGGTTTCATTGTTATATTTTAACTGTGGAGCTGTAGTTTGAGTTTAATTAAAATTTATTTATAGTACAGTTTTGCTCCAATGCCAGTACATAAACCTAAGCTAATCAAAACTAAAATAGGACGCAGTTATTCTACAGACACTTGAGTGAATAATTAAGCATTGCCAATCTACGCTACATTACACTCAATTTTAATGTGCGGTTTAAAGTATTAAGACTAAGTTACAAGTTATGCCCATCATCAAGCTATTTTTCGTTGTCACATTGCTTTTGAGTTAACGCCATCTCAAGCGCATAAAGTGGATTTTGTGTAGTAAACCTTGCGCATGCGTGTATCTACTTTGATGTGATACCCATAGTGATAAGGACTAATTAAATTAAAATCGTACTTTTAAATCACATATTATACAATTAAGTGTGTGTGTGTATGTATTATAGGTAAATTCTACAAATTAAAGTAATTGAATTTTAAATAGTAACTGCATTCAGCAATTATGCCCTCTTGAATTAAAAATGCCTTCCCAAAATAACCATTTGCTTCGCTCTTCAAAGCTTAGAAGTTCTCTTTGTGTTATTACAATTGTTTTCCAATGCCTTAATTTTAATAAATTTCTAAGTACTAGCAACTAAGTTTAACATACATAACAGTATACAATTTATTTAAAGCGTAGCACCCTGTTTGCGGCGTTTCGAAAAAATCTTTACAATTTACAGGCTCTACCCTTATACACCAAAGAAACTAAGTGACACAAACCCAAATCTGGTGTTTGGGCTTTCCGCTGCTCTACACTACAATGATCAAACTAGACTTCGTTGAAAGCCGGCTCAGTTCAATTGCGCTCGTCATCTGTCCTCCATTTTCTTAACGATTCTCACACTAAACTTTCAACTTGTTGCTGTTGAAGGCATGGAAAATCCGCTTACTCAGCCAACATACCCTAATTGCATATACATATTTATCTAGCTATCTAAAAATCTTTACCATAGGACCTGAGCTGCAGTTGCGCTATTCTCGATCATTTTCTCTTTGTTTCTTCAACAAACACAAATATAGTTTTATTAAAACGCCTTGTTTAGCGCTTTGCTTGCGCTCGCAAAGTTTTCACTTTTCACTATTTTAACAATCACTTTGTATTAGCGCTTCGCTGAGCGCATTAAGTTGTTCTTCGCCACATTTGATCTTGTCGGCGACGTCACGTGTATCCGCTATTAATTTCGCCTTCATATTGATGAAATAGTCGAAATCGGCAAAATCATCGGCGCTGAGCGTTTTCTCTACAATGCCAACCACACTGCTACCACGTCGATCTATGTCCTCCTTAAGACGCTTTGCTTCGGCTAACTGATCGAGCAGGCGATCGCGCTTTAACTCGAGCGATTTCTGAAAAGTAGAAAAACGGAAATTAATGAATATGGCTCGGTTAATAAAGATCAACAATTCTGTTGTATATTGTTATTCCTACTTTAGCGCATAATAAAATTACGGAAGACCCCTAAAACTAATAATTTTTAAGAAATATTTTAGTCTCTTTCTTACCTTTTCGGCGCTATTCTCAGCTGAAACGCTGCTTAAACTATTTTCTATGCGCGCCAAGCGTTCGGAGAGTGAAAGCAGCAGACTGGTAATCTGACCGACATCATCGATATAGGTGCGACATTTAGTTGCCTCTATTGGCCGTACTTTATCCGTCAGCTTGCCGACTAGACTATTGCCCAACTCATCGTTGAGTTCAGCTTCTGCCTTAAGTGTCGTTTGTTCCTTATTAAGTATGCGTATTTTACGATTCAACTGTTTCATAAGTTCATCCTGTAAATGAAATAAGTTATTATAAATTCAATGTTACCAAAAAATATGTGCGCTTTGGCCTTACCACTTTCTTCTTCAGCAAATCGCTCGTCTCCGATTCACTATCGCCGTTGGTTAATAATACTTCCACTTCGGCATATTGTAATTCAACAGTGACCTTTTCTTGTGCATCATGTCCCTTCATGCGCAGTAGCGTTGAAGTGCCTACATCTCGTTTAGCCGGTCGCAATGGCACATTCGGATTATATAGGTTACTAACATAGTCTGTGGGTGATTTGTGTGTGGGCGGCGCTAAAATCTGCACCAACTTCTCATTTGTGGCCAAGAGTGTAGCCAATTCCTGTGACATTTCCTCGCAATCAATCTCGATCGGATGCCGTTGACGTGGCTGTAATGTTATGCGCTGTTGCTGTGCATCCTCCTTGCTTTGTGGTTGTTCTGTGAGTCGTGTGTGTTCGTCTGCATCGTTGGTTGCAGCAATCAGTTCGTCGTCGGTTTGTGAAGCAACCTCCGTGGTGGCGGGATTTACGCGTAGTATGACTTCACTGCGCTGCATAAGTTTTAAGCTCTCG